TCTACCCGTTGACCTTTCAGGCATGATTGGATCTACGGCTGTGAAAAGCCATCCTGCGTAGCTCGCAGGAGTCATGGAGGCACGCAAGCCATCACACCACGTCAAGGTGCAGTCTCGTCGTGATGGGTTCTATGGGTGTACTTAACCTTGGGCGCGGTAGCAGGTTAATGATAGTAATATATTAAACTATGCTTATACTCGCGTCTAATATCACAAAGGATTATATATTGTTTTTTTGGTTTCTCCTCATAGGAGCGTGTTTCACAAAACAACTCAACAATCCGAACTTTCTCCATGACTGTTTTTAGGGGTACACTCGTTTAAAACTAGTGGAAGTTGAATAACTTTGTTTTCTTCTCTCATTAATTTCAGATATACGGCATGCAGGCCGTAGCAAAACTTCGTGGTCTTCGGGTCCCTCTTTATCCTAAAGCTGTAGTTGCTTTAGGATACCACAAAAATGTGATTGATCACTACGAAAACCCTCGGAACGTGGGTTCTTTGGATAAGAAAGATAAACGTGTCGGTACTGGGCTGGTTGGGGCCCCGGCTTGTGGAGACGTGATGAAACTGCAAATCAAGGCGAGTTCTTAACCTGTTCAAGAGCACTGACTGGTACGCATCTCTGCAACACAATGTTTTATGTGTTTAACCTTCAAACAATAAGCAAACCGGAGTAGGGGGACGAGAGAGGCCTGTTCATAAGGCTTTATTCATCATAAACAAACTGTCAGCTGCAGAAAAAAGAAGATAAACTATTAGTCAAAATACGAATGAAGCGTATTGAACCATTCGGACCAACAACAGCAGTAATGATAATAATAATAATAGCTTTCAAATAACCATATGATGCTACTCATACATCAATATATATATATATATTCATATACGTAAAGTCTAATCACGTAGATTATGTACACAAGGCTCCGTCTTCCCCACACAATCAAAGGAAGGTTGTTCAAAAAGTTCGAATCGTGAGTTCCATCAACAAACAAGGCGATTGCATTCTTTTTTAAATTACAAATCAGTGTGTGGTGAACAGCGGACGGGGCGGACCCCACAGTGGCGAAGACCCGCTGCGGTCCATTGATGGAAACCGGTAATCTAAGTTTCGCGGGGTTAGGAGTGGTGAATCACATGAGGCCCCGCTAGATCAGGTGTGGCATAAAATCCTCTTAAGCACCTGAAATCAACTTGTTTTATGCCTAAAGTCTTCCCTTGCCATCCACCTACAATCTGGTGACGTTCACTTTCTCACTCACAAATCAAATTCAAATTTTTATTATGGGAAAAGCTTACAAAGACTTCGTTTATCAAATCCCATAGGGTGTTTACACGTTGGTTCGGAACACGATTCACAAGATCACAATTAGTCCACGTAAGTAAAATAGTAATGTAATGTTTTTGACGACCACAGGAGAATATATTATGTAGTTGGGTGTTGAAACAATGTTTGCCAGAGCATCATCAAGCCGACGCTTGAAAGATACCTATGTTGAGGCACAGACCACGTGAGCTGGTAGAGAGTTCCATGTGCTGCACACTGACTGCAAACGAATGGCGTCTGCAGTCGAGATGGCTCCCTTTGGAGTGCCAATTTCAGTGGATGCCCTCTGAGATAAATGTTGGTTGATAGAACCAATAGATGTCGACATGAATGGTTGGACTGTTGGAAAATTCGGTACAGTAAAATCATATCACCTCTGATTTGACGATATTGAGACGAGTATAGCCCCAGTAGATGTAATCTTTCACCATAGATCTTGGAATGTAGACCTTTGACCATCTTGTTAGCCATTCTCTGCAGATGTTCGAGCGCCTTCCGATCTCGTTTCGGTCATGTGTTCCACGCCTGAATTGAGTACTCGGTGTATGGACGGATAAATGTGGCTAAGTGAGGTGGAAAGAAAGCATGCTCAAACGATCTAAAAACACGTTTAAGCAGTCCGCCATGTATGATGCCCTGGAACAGTTTGTGGAGCAACTCAAGTCTGTGCGAATGGTTGCTCCCAGATCATTTTCGGATAAAGCATGAGGCAGAGTTTCGTGTCCGAGAGTGTAGGAAAAACGACAGTTGCGACGTGGTGCTAAAACTTCACATTTGTTAACGTTGAATTTCATGTCTTTGGAGACAGACCATCTGTGGGCTTCGTCAAGGGCGTTCTGGAGATCAAATCAATCTTCTGGTTTTATTATTGCCCCCCCCCCATATTTTGGCATCGTGTGCAAGCAGCAGAGTTTGTGGTCCGAGGACGTCTGGATGATCATTTATAAAGGTAAGAAAAAAACGTGGGCCTAGCACAGATCCCTGTGAAACCCCACGGTTAACATCCATTGGATCAGAAAGTGAATCGGAAACACAAACTGACATGGTTTCAGTTTCAGTTTGTACAACCGTTAACCATGCACTTTCGTGCGCCGGTTTTGGTTGTTGTCTTTTGGCTGCCCATTTGGATGAAGAATAGAAGGAAAGTTGAAAGAAGAGACAAACAGAAAATAGAGAATTTCAGTTGTCTAAGGTTGCAAAGGAATTGAGATGCAAGCATGTCACTATTTACGACACTCAGCCATATCACTCAGTGTCTAACCATCGGGTACAATCATCCCGAGGTTCCCATCCAGGGAACCTTACAGGGTCTATGTGCCCCAGTCCCCTAGTCATGGTTTTCATACCCTCGTGCCAGGTCTTAGCTTGACCACCCTTGGCTATTTTTCCACCCACTACCTGCCTCGGCGAACACCGCTCGCCGTGGCAACCTATCTGGTGACATGCATAACACATGTCCCAACCAACGTAATCT